CAAGCCAAAACCGCGTATCTCGCATTATCTCATGTCCCTCAACACGCAAGTACGCGATGAACATCTAATAGTACATTTCGTTGCGAGCAGGACGTTATGTCACGACATGCAACATGCTTGAGCTCATGTCTTCGTAAAAGCACATCTCTCTATTCTACACGCCAATTCCGTTTCACCTTTCAATTCCGCAACATCACAAAGGTGTTATGAATGCTATGCAATTTTAGTGATTTAGTGGAATAACAAGGATTAGTATGCTAGAAAGGTTCATGAACCCTGTGATCTTGTTAAGGAGAAGAGGTAAGAGTGAGGAACGAAATTGTCGACAGAGAATAGGAGCGTCTTCTGTAGATTATCATCGTTGCCGATGATAAAACCGTTCTGATGTATGTTAAATGACTGAAGTGATGATAATTTTCCTATATGATAAGCTTCAATCGTTATTAATTCGTATAAGGTGCGTCTGCTTTGTTGCGACCAGAAACAATTTTTGTTCAGAATTGCGGTTTTGATTTCGTTGAACTTTCTGGAGGTACAATGGAGAAAGTAGCGTTTCATCACCGTCGTGAGTCGACTAAAAAGCGTGAGGCATTCTTCCTTGAATTCGCAGAAAATGTAAGTAGCAATCTAATACAAGACATTAGCAGCTAATCTGATGCTTTCGTAGCTTTTTAGATTCGACCAGTTTTTAAAGATACGGTAATCTACGTTACTGGTGGATTTCGGACAGCCACAGGAATGGTGAATGCCGTCAAAAGCGGTGACACTGATGGTATAGGGCTGGGAAGACCTATTACCGCCGAGCCAGGTATTATCCTCAAGATAGGCTGCTTCTCTACTGAAAGAGTTTTCGATTGAAATCTAGAAATATATTCTTGACTGACTCAGCAAGGTACTCTCACATTAAAAATGGAGTATTAATCATTTTAGACCTTCCAAAAAAAATCCTCAATGGAGAATGTTATTCTGCCGCAGATACCAAAGTTGATCAAGACGATTTCAAGATGACATTTTACGTTAGCTCTGCACAAATGGGCCAGATGTCAAAGTTACCTACCCGAGTTTTGGATGAGTGAGTTTTTTTTGAGCCATAACGTCATTTTTGAAAACTACTCTATACTGAAAAAAAACGGAGGCTTTTGAGTAACATGTAAAAGAATTGGTAATCGACAAACATTTAAATTAGAAT